AGAGTGATTCTGAAGAATGAGATAAAAATAGTTGAACTGCAGCTCACATTTCTTAATACCAGCACAAAGCACCTTCAGGCATTTAGGCATTATAACAAATGTATTTAGGAAAGAGCATAATGTAGCAAAGTTCATATGCCTTTTCATTATGAACGTATAATCCCAAATTACATTCGTGTTTCAACTGCTCTGATTTCCAGAAACCTGCAGGCTCTAGAGTCAAGCTAGATAAATACCTGTGTGATTTTTGCCCTACATTTCCACCTCAAAACTAATTAGCAGGTCTTCAGAAACGTGACTTGAACTGGATTTGTTTAATCAGAGTTTTCCATGATATATCCTCCCTTGCAAACTAATTTCTACCAACAGCAAATGTCACAAAGACCTCCTCAGTGTGAATCTCACTGCAATAAGAACGGGCCTCTGGCAGCAAACAGTTCAGCAGGAAGGAGCATGGACATACTGCCATATGCTACTCCAGAATGAGTGGGATCACAGCTGGAGAAGAACCAGCTGGCCTTCTACACCAATATAGCCACTGGGGCCATACCAGGCCAGCATCCAGTGCAATGCACTGCCCCAGTGACAGCTCACATTTCAGAGACCCAGCACTGGAGCCAATCCCTCTTCTCAGAACTCAGCAAATAGTTTTGGTACCTTACAATATGCAGTGTCAATTAAAATGTTCACCAGGTTTGACTCCACCATTCTAAGTTTTCATGGACAGCTAATTCCCAGATCCACTGGTATAATGCTTATTCAACCATGTCACCAAATAAGCCATCCTTACGCACAGGTTGGCATTGACCTGCAACACCTCCCAACATATTCCCAACTTCCTTCTTTGCCTCTCAAATGGTGTTTGCCTGCCTATGACTAGAAGCAATCTCAATAGGTTACCTCTTCTCTGCAAAATCCTGCTGGTAATACATAGCTTTTTGTTGCCTAAACTCAATGACAGAGGAAGATTTTGGATATCTATGGAAGATCCATGCCAGTCACCTGTTAGACACAAAAAGGACACACCAGTGGATAGGTGGAGTCTTGGAAACATGGCTGGACCCAAATACACAAGTTCTCTGCCCTCTCACCAACTTTCCACCATTGTTACTCTGCATTTTAAAACCAACTCATGTTCTCTGTGTTTCCAATATAAAGTAATTTAAAGTGCTCCCCCAATTCTAGAGTAAGGCTAGTAGGTTTGGCCACACAGGACTTTATGGTTTTATTGTGAATGAGTCTCCCAGTTATGGGATAAAGCTCCTATATAGAAGACCAGTTGTAACCTCACACCCCGAAGTCTATGTCGAAGAGGAAATAACCCACTGTGTTCTTATAAGTAAACACTAAAACTGTTTTCTGAGATGTCTACATGAGGCTTTACACAGGACAAACACAGGATGTACACTTGTGTGTGACAGGCAACTTGCTCCTCTCATCCACTTTTTAAGTCCTTTTGGGAATTAAGAAACATGTTCAAATCTACCACACCAGAAAGTGCAGCCATTTGCCAACACATTTGCCAGATCAGTACCTTCCAAGTCAGCATGTATTTATTCTTGAAAATATAATCCAGCAAATAAGTTAAGTACCAATTAAGGAGCTTTCTTTGGCTACAATGGAAACACAATACAAATGCTGAGATTTTTCTATCTAGGCAAGGGAAGGAAAAGCTGGTTTTACAACTGTACCTTTTTTCCCCTTAAAAGTATGTAATTGCACTCTCAGAGTGAAAAGATTAGTTGCCTTCAACAGATTCTCAGGGAAAAAAATCCTATTATTTCCTTCCTATGAAGGAGGAGTAACATCTTCCCGTAATTACAGGAAGCTGTGCATTAAGTTGCCAGCTCAGGAAGAGCCATTTCCTAATAAGATGCAAACTTAATTCATTCTCAGTGAGTCAGAGATAAAGAATAAGTTCTCAGCCTAATGCCTGCCTTTACCTGCAGTCCTTCAGGTCATACCCCCTCAATAAGAGGCACAAAAGAACAAGCCACTAATTAAGAAAAGCCCCCTCAAGGCTTTCTCCTGGTCTCTGTTCAAAGAGCACAAGGCCTACTTACTTTACCAGATCTGAGGCAAAGGCCAAAGTGACAGCAATGTGTACAGGCACTCTCAGAACAGGAAAGCAACTGCCCCTATTCTTTTTTTTCTTTTTTTGGGTCCAGTCATGGGGCCTGAACTCTGGGCCTGGGCACTGTCCCTCAGCTCTTCAGCTCAAGGCTAGCACTCTACTACCTGAGCCACAGCACCACTTCTGGCTTTTTTCTTTTTGCTTATGTGGTGCTGAGGAATCGAACCCAGGGCCTCATGCATGCAAGGCAAGCGCTCTACCACTAAGCCACCTTCCCAGCCCCTATTCTTGTAGACGCTTTCTGGCATCTATTGGTGCCATCAAGGGATTGTGCCTCCCTTTTATCAATGACCACATGGCAGGCTGACCCTTAGCCAACAATATGTCTACAGAGGTCTGCCTCCTCTCCCATCACTGTCTACACAGTCACCACTCACAGAACAGCACTCTCCACCACAAATGGTATGCTGTCACAGTTTCTTAGTGCCATTCACAGATGTAAACCACCACAGAATTGAGGAGGAGTCTGAGAAATGTTCCAGTCCAAAACCCTCATTTTTCAGAATGGTAGTACTGGACAGTTGTTACAGGTACAAAGTTTTGCCTCCATTAGCAGATTCTGACTCCTTTCTTCCTAGACATATAATACTTCATTGGATATTTATGTTTTGGCATAAACACCAAAAAGACATTGGCCAAAGATCTGACTCTTTCTTTCCTTTTCTATGATTTATATACACGCAAAGTATTCATCTTTAAATATTTTCTGCAAAACAAAGGTAGTTTTGAGTTCAAATACCATTATTACCAGGAGGTTGGTCATTGTCTGAGACCAAATGCCTTCTCTTATAATCATCAAAGGTTTCAGCAGAGACCCTTGAAATTCTTGGTTTTATAAAATTGGAAGAAGGAGAGAAGACAGGGTGTAAAAAAGTGCAATCAGATCAGGGAGAAAAAGATGAAGGATGAGGACTCACAGCTTAGTGTTAGCTCAGAAGTAAACTGATTTCTTGCCTGACATGGCAAGAATGGGCCTCCTCTCCAGCTGGAGGCAGGCCAGCCTGGGGAGGGGCAGCAGGCCTGAGCAGGGGTGGTTGTGACCCTGCCATCTCTCCCATTGGGGATAATGAGTCTCCTCATGAATCTCACACAGAAAGGCATGAATTAAGGGCTACAAATAGCACAGGACCATCATCTTTCCTCTCTTTCCAACTTCTTGTCTCTCTCTCTAAAAAGAAAGGAACTGCATGCAAATTCAATTGCTTTCAAACTCTGCAGCTTTGCATTCACCCTCCAAAGTGGGCAGTTATACCAGTTTCTTCTTCTTGTGAGTTTAATAGGCCATTCCTACAATGAAAGCTACTATGTTGGGCCAAAATTGAAATACTTGTAGTTCCCACCATTCTTGACCATTTCTTAGTCTTTATCTCAAAAACAAGGGAAAGAAATATGGGAAACAGAATAAGCTCTGGAGAAAAAGAGATGAGGGTTCAAATCTGGCTCTGTCCCTCACTGCTAGGTGGTCTCAGATGTACCACTTTATCTCTTGGAGTCCCTGTTTCCACATGTGCAGCTACATGGTAATTACCTACTAGGCAGGGTTACTGTCTGAATTACAGGTTGTACTGTACCAACTTTACAGAATGACAGTGGCATAATTGCCATAGCCTGTATAAATGTTAATAACACCACCGTGACGTTAATCTGCTGCTTTGGGATACATGTACACTTGGGAAACACAGCCTGGGGGAGTCAGATTTGATGATGCTGTGCTAGAAGCTGGCTTAGTCTGTGCTATACCCTGCACCCACGTTTCTTCAAAGGAATCTCCTCATTACCTATCAAAGAGGCCAGACACCAAACTGCACATTATAACTTCTTGGAGCTTTTGACCTTGCAATCTTTTAACCAAAACTCACTACCCCAAACAGACACATGGTGCTCCTAAGAATGATTTCTACACCAGCTTGGCCATTGTCAACAGAAGCCTTCTGAAGCTCCAAACCTCATTAGATCATAGAGAGGGGTAGGAATCTGAGCTTAGTGAAGTGTATAAGACTCTACCATCTGTAAGGATTTGTATGATCTCAGATTTTGCCCTCTGTACAGAAACATTTGCAAACTAGAAATTACCTGTTCGGCTTCTAATTAGCAACACCTGCTCTGGGAGCCTTAATCCCTTTCTCTGCTTCAGTAAGTGATAGTCAAGCCCACCCAGTGGTCTCAGCAAAAACAAACAGAACACTCCCAGGATCCAGGTAACTATGCAGTTACAGAATCCTTCAGATTTATGCAGAAAAAGAAAACACCACAGAAATCTTTTTTTCCTTAGTATTAATCATCTCATGAGGGTATCAACACCAAGAGCTGTATTTGCTTGTGGATACCTGACACCTAACTACCAATGAGTCACAAAGCCACACTACCACACTTGTCCTCAACTGGCACAGCACAAAGTCAGTCTTGAAAGATGGGATATGGAGAACAAAGAAGGTAAAGGAGAGGCAAATTCACTCCTTCACTCTGCTCTCCACATGGTACCACTCCTGAGACTCCTGAAAAATGTCAGCTGTACTCACAGAACAGCTCATCGCCAATTTAGCTCCTCACAATTATGAGGTGTCCTAATTTTGAAGAGCTCTCCCCACCAGCCATTCCAACTTGGCAATCCTCAAGAGTCCAGCCTGCTGCACCTGCCAGGAGCACATGCGACATGCACTACTGCACAGAGGATGTCCTACAGGAAAGGGGCAGTGCTGAAATTTCACCTGCTAAGGAAAAACTCTGAGTGTGGGGCTGTACTCTCTTGAAAGAGGAACAGGACTCTGCAGAGCAGCCACCCAGTGTCCCAGTGGGGCTGAGAGAGCCACAAAGAAGCAGGCAGCTAAGGCAGGCCATAGAAAGAAACATAGTCCAGCTCACTCACCTGTCTGAGTCCCTTAGGCATCTTCTTTCTCTTCCCAAGGTGCTGGCAGAGGTTGCGGTCATTTTCTCGATCGGAACTATAGTGGTGTGGGTGGCTGAGTCTGCTCTTCTTTGAATGAAAGGACAAACCGTTGGTAAGTGCTTCTCGTTTCTTCTTGGTCAGGGGAGTCTGACGTTTCTCCACACGTTCCTGAGGCTTAAGTGCTACATCTTTCTGTAAGAAAGAGAGAAGGAAAGGTAAGTGGTGGTTATAAAAGGCATTTACAATCACATCCAAAAGACAGGCTGAATAGAGTTACTAGAAAGGATAGGAAAACGGGATACAACGTATAAAACTTAGAATTATGGTTCTCACTCTCTTTCTGAATCCCCAATGCCACCACAAATGTGTCTTATTGGGCAGCAAACTCAACAGAGCACCAAGCACCACTCCATTACAAGTGGCTTTCCTGGTGCCTAGGACGACAGCTTTCTGTCTGATTCTGTGCTTGGCACAAAGGCTTTCTCTCTGATTCTGTGCCAGGGCTGTCACACAATGGCATTCCCAGAGGACACGCAAAACACTTACTTTCGAAGGTGGTCTATGAATTATTATAGTTTCCAAAAAAGAGTGCTAAGTGCATGCACAATTCCATAGCAATTGCACAGAAGGGCACACAGCAGAGAGGATAGAAAGGAAGCAGCTGCTAGCTCCTATGGTCACCACACTTCCTGAGAACACCACATCTTTACAACAGCTCCTCAGAGCATCTCTCATCCCCATCATACTGTCACTAAGACCAACAGCAGCAACTTGTCCCTTGAGGAGGAAGAGGGTAATCAATGTCCTACATTGGTAAGGGGCCAAAGTCTCAGGCCACAGGACCTGGTAAGTTCTGGTAGAGTTCCTACAGGAAGATCAGGCCTGAGCCTCTGATACCCCAAGGCCTGGACTCAGTCCATGTGTGGCATTAGTTATGTCACAGACCAAGTCCTTGCACTGGGAGGTCAATTGTGAATGGGTTCACAGAACATCAAGTGGCCTGATGGGTGTCACTAGAATTCTGAGAAATGCTGCACACACTGAACACTACACAGAAATAAGATGGTACTGAACTATTTATAAAGGAGTGAATGCAATCCTGGCACAAAGCAAGGCTTCTTCCTGGAGCCTCCTTCCAACAGTTTGTCTAGTTCTAATTAGTTTCTCTAATCCTAATGGCATGTTTCAAACCAGAAATCCCCTTTTCCTCTATTCCTTTCCTCACAACCTCTAACAAAGTGAAGCAAGCTAGAAAAGCCCGTGGTGGCAGACAATTCAGGAACCTAGTAGGCCCTGCTGCACATCAGCAGGATCACAGGAAGGAGCTGAAGACCCCAGAAAAGAGTAAAGGTCTTGAGAAGAAGGTATTAAAGATATAGTCCTTCCTGGAAGACAAATGCACGATTGTAGGTCTGACTTCCAGCTGCCACTACTGCAGATGGCTTGTCTTCTGCCACCTGACAAACAAAGATGTGCTGAGAGGTGTTGTAGGGGACAAGCTGAGATCGAGTTAAGTCAACGGCCATTGATTGCACAGCCCTAGACCTTCCTCACCATGCCAAACTCATGGAACATGTTCAATAAACATCTGTGGAATTGAATTCCTTTGTCCACTACCCACAAACTCAGCTGGTAGTCAGGCATCTGCTCAGCTCAGAAAGCTTCTCTGCTTAGTCTCACATTTCACCAACTTGGTCAGCTACCAGGGGAAAACATTCAGGAATGATGGCCATGCTAGCAGGAGGCAGGTGGGCTCAGGTGCAAGGGGATTGAATTGTACTGCTTCTGAGGGTCACCCTCACTATCCACAGGGTGAGAAACCCCTTTGTTTGTCAAACAGTCCAACCACTGCCCTGCATCACATTCATGGAGAGGATCCGATTAATAAACAAATGATATTTAATAATGTATCAGCTGGGCTTTGGAAGAAAATTATATCTTTCTCTTTGGAGCCCAAATCTTCTTTCATACTGAAGGTGCCTCCAGAAACTGATGTGCAATTCCATACAAATGTGAATTAATATTTATGAGAGTATGTTATAATTTTTCCAAATCCATTTTATTTTCATGCAGCATATTAATCAGGCATTCTCTGGCACTGCAGAATAGCTACACAGAGCAAATGGACCCCATGCCGTGACATTAGCTGGCAGGAGACCTCTCAAGCTCTGTCCCCAACAGTCATCTCAGCTCCAATTAGCACTGAGGTTTCCACTCTGGAGGGGGTCAGCACATGTGCAGGGATGCAAGAAAAGAAGAACCTTCTTAAAGTTTTCACATTTGTGTTTCTAAAGAGTAGAGTTCACCTTAATTTTTTAAAAGATAAACCTTTACTGTTAAATTAGACCCTGTGGTACAAATCCTAAAACTAGGCCACTGCCTATGGACATTAATTAGTTGCTTACTATGTATAAAGTAAAATAAATCAGTTAACTTTTCAATGAACAAAAAAAAATGCCAAAAACAGCTCAATATAAGCAATGTAAATCAAAGACAAAAAGACTGACTATAAGCTAAATCAGCTTATCAACATCCAGAGAAACTGCATAATGATTACATTCCTGGGTGTGTATTCACCAACCTACCACCAACCAAGTGGCCACCAATGTAAGAATTAAAGAAACCAGGCCACTCTCTACAGTTCTGCTACAATATGTGGAGGAAAACAAATAACTTTGGGGGATCAATGAACAGCAGTGTTCAAAGGCCTGTTGATTCATTACTCCACTATGATCTAGCTTAGTGGTTGCCAAGGGAAACTGTCCATCAGAGCAACTTGCAGGCTTTTATAAAATGACTAAATCCCACATTGTGCAAGGGAGGCACTTAGCAAATGAATGAGGGCTGGCAGAATTCTCCACTGGAAAATATGCCACTTGGCATAAGGATTATTTTAAGCTAAAGGCACTTGAAAAACAGTAGATACAAGAGAGGTACTCTGCCCTCTGCACCAGGAAGAGAGGAGAGGAAGAAAGAAGAAGAGAGCCAGAGAACTCTGGAATGAAATACCACATGCCTGCCTGTGGCAGGAGAGAAGAAATGTTGTTACTTAGCAGAGATATCCAGAAAAAAAAGCCTATGAATGACAGCTATGAATGGTCTTGTTAAAATAACACCTATCCTCCTTCAGCCACCCGATATATTTCACCTTTCCACAGTTACTACTAGTTCTGTTCCGCCTACTAAAGAACCATTTCGGTTTGGCTCTTTTTTTTTAAGAGAGGGTCCTTCTTTTGTGGGCTCAAAGACATGCAAAAATATGTATGCTTTTTTCTGTCTCATTAATCTCCTTTATGTCAATTTGGTTCTTAGGCCCTGCCAGAAGCCTAAGGAGTGGAGATAAAAGTCTGTCTGGCCTACACAAGTACTAGGAGAGAAAGGAGAGCAGGGCAGAAGGACAAGAAAAATCTAGAAAACCTGCCTGCCAGATTCATTAACAAGCTTGGAGCAGGAAGGAGAACAAGCTAGCAGCTAGCCAGTAGAAAGCTGGGCCTGAGTTAAAAAGGCTTAACTATAGTTGTGGGCAATAGAGGGCTAAGGGTACAAGCCATATGTAGCCCATAGGAACAGCTTCTGCAAAGGGCTGAAATGATGTGATTTTTAGGTCAGTGGTGATGGGCAGCAAGGTCACACCCTGCACATGCAGAGAGAGGCTCAGAGGCTGACGAACCAAAGCAATTTCTCTCAAGAGCAGCCCTCAGCCCTCTTCAAAGCAGGTGATCTTGCTCTTGACTTTCCTTCTCCCAAATTACAATCTCCCACTCCTGAATTTCAAAATGAGATGGTTGGGTGTTGTGCAAACGAGGGGAGAGCAACAAATTGCAGATGAACAGTGTGTGGGCTGCAGGGCTCCATTTGCTGATTACAGAGGGAGACAGAGACAACAGAAGATGAGGGCACAATTTGCTTGCCTTGCATGAAATGGACTGGAGAAAGCCTCCATCTGATTCTCTCAACCAAACTAATGTGAAGGCAGCCATCACTTTGCAGAGCATCTGTGCAGTGCATATGCATGTGCCTGCATGCCCATCTACATAAGACAAGGGGAACACAGTTTAAACACAATGTCTTCTGCAAGTTATTTGATGTTAGGGATGCCCAAAATGTAACAAAAAAAGCCAGGAGAAAAAGAAAAAGTGTTTGCCTGTCACCATCAAATGACAGTAATGGCTGTGTGCTGTCTTTTTAGTCTGTCAAGTCCTTTGTTGGTTTATTGTACAGCACTTGTACCTGTTTTCGAGCCATTTTTACAAACACTAATCTCATCAATGCCTCAGTGAAAACAAGGGCAAGGGTCTACGGTGAGAAGAAGCATTAAAAAGATGGCAGACAGCACTTCAACCTTACTGTGGATCTGTGTTCACACAGGTCCCCATGTTGGACTTGGTAGCTAACAGACTTAGGAACCTCTTTCAGGGCTTATCCTTCTAGAGTAAGTAGAGGGGACTATGTGTAGGAATCTGTAAAGTATCCAGTATGGAATTGAAAACAATTTCAAATGTTTACTTTTGAAGAAAGGGGTGCTGACACCAGTAACCAGTGTTGAGCTGAGGGCCCCAAGCACACACTCAACTTCATTCTGGCTAGCTAGCACTCTACCACTTGAACCATGCCTCCAGTCCAGCTTAATTTGTAGTTAATTGAACATAGATGCTCATGTACTTTTCGATCTGGCTGGCTTCAAACCTCAATCCTCTAATCTTGGCTTCCTGAGTAACCACCAGGAATACAGGAATGAGCCACCAGGCACCTGGCTCAAATGTCCACATTTGAAAAACAAACATCAATACACAGGCATCAGCTGGAAATATCAAAGAGGATTTTCAGACTCCAGCTGCATAATCAAGATGAGAGGAATCAATAATCTATGGCAGCCAAGGAGCTAAGGGTTGGCTGTGTGCTGCCATCTTTGACAGAAAGTCAAAATATATGGTACACGGGCAAAAAGAGAAGAGCACAGATCAAAGGGAGGGAACGCAGACTCAAAACAAACCACATAAGAGATGGACAAGTGACTTTAAGCAAAGGCAATCCTGTGGAAAAAGTGGTCTTTTCAAAAAATAAAAATGGAATAAGTAGCCATGTAAGAAAGAAATTAATTTTAATCCACACCTTGATCCAAACAGAAAAACTGAAAAATTATAATACAAGTGTAAATTGAACATTATAAAACTTCTAAAGGAAAATAGGGA